AGTCAAGCGAAAGAGAAGGGGGAAAAAAAACTCTCCACATGACTAGTTACTTGACCTTTGCATAAACTACTACAAAGGGCTCAGTTGCAGCGTGTCTTCTGTACTGCCAGCCCTATGCAGTGTCTTCACCAAAACCTTGTATGCAAGCCCAAGCAATAGATGTGGACAGCTGAAATACTCCCACTGATATAAATTCTTATGCTAGGTGTGCTTAACCAAGCGAAGTCCATAATTACGGGTTTTGAGCGTATTAACTCCTGTATAAAACACAGTGGTAAAATACTGTACTTATTATACAAATTGTCTGCAGTGCTATAGTGGTCTGACAGCATCTATTTGTTTCTTCGTGCACGGAGATTGCGAGTTTCACAATTGTCTATTGTTGCCAACCAAACTCATACGTATTGGTGCTTATATTTGACTCGTATATAGTTGATTCCCTCCACTTTAACAGCTCAGGTAGACAGTGTCCCAGTGAGAGCAGTGGCTTTATATCCCCATCTTGAACCTGTACTGCTATGCACCAGATGTGAATGAGTAGTGCCAAAAAGTAAATACAGGCAGCTGTGTGATGCCAGAAGTACCAGCATGACTGCTCTTGTCTAGGTACTTATCTGTTTTCATCCCTTCCTCCTCCAAATCCTCCCCAGTCTGCTTCTGTCTAGAAGAGAAGAGAGATGGAGAAATTTAGGAACGTTTTCTTTTCTGTCTGTGTCTTTCTGCATCCTTTTTTCCCATGTCTGATTCTCCAAGCTTCAGTCTAGACAAAAGCTAGAATTCTTAAGGATGAACTGACATAAGAGAGAAAAATAAAAATGCAACTAATCTGAAAAGCAAGTCAGAAAAGAAAGTCATCTTTTCCTGTTACATGTTTGCATGATGTATAGCGTAAGTGTAAGTCCCTGGAGTCTGACCCCTTACAGCTGAGTTCCTGCTCCTGGTATAAAGAACAAAATAAGCATATAACATCAGGGTAGCTTGTGCAAGTCTCTATTTAATTACAGTGCTGCATGAAGACATTTGTTGGTGTCACATGTACTTGTGATGGGTATTACACATTCTTGACTCTTCAGGGAGTCATGTTTTCACTGGAGATTTTCACCACAGAGGTAGTGGCTTTTTTTTTTTTTTTCCTGTTTTCCTTTTCATTTCAGCAGGATTTAATAAGCTAGTTAGACCTACTGTAATTAGTTTACTCTTCAATCAGGAAGATAAACAGTATCATGACTGTAGTGGGAGCAAGCAGGCAAGCGCCAAATACAGTGCAGGCAGAATTCACTAGCTTCTTAATTAAAACCTGTTCAGGGGTGCAGAGAGCCACACGGGCTTCAGGAAGCTGTGAATCTCAGGGAAGAAAAGCAGGAACAGGAAGACTCAATAAGCAGAACTAAAGCTTCAATTACAAATAATGAATCACAAAATAGGGATTATAGCAAGGGTCTTAAGTTCTTCTTCAGGAACGAAGAAACGAAATCTTCTCACTAACGTGATTTAAAAAACATATCGGTACCCTTACCATCATCAGCATGTCCCTCCATCTGAAGTCCTTGGGAAAACAGTGTTTTTTTCCAGAGGGGAAGTAACAGTGAGGACTGTGTTTGCCAGACGCAGATCTGTGGGAAAGAAGCCTCAGAGTCCTGCATGATGTGACTGACTGCAGCAAACACTTTCCATCACAACTATGGGCTGGTTGTCGTTGCACCAGGTGCTGTACAAACAGATTGCAAAGACTGTCCTTGCTCTTGGCATTAGTTTATTCTTTGTAAAGCCAGAGGATGATATATTTCGGTCCTCTTTCAAAAAGAGTTGTGAAGGCTTGATTCGTGGGTGGAAGGTGCTTTATCTTGTTGTCTTTAAGTGTAGACGTATTATGGGAAAGGAAAACCTGCTGCAGAAGAGATGAACAGACATGGCATTACTGCCTTTCCAAGGGCAGTTGGTATCTTCCACAAGATACCTTTGAGCCCGGAATGTTAGGAATGAGTGGCTTAAAATGTCATTGGGATGAATGATAGGCTGCAGGCAACTTCTCCCAACAAATAATTAATCTCTAGGAAATGACACTGGGCTTTTTTTGGTCCATGTTAGCAAACATATCATGGACATAGGCCCTTTTTCAGCAGCTTTTTCCTCCATGACGTTTTGGAAGAGTCTTTCATCAGTGAGTCCAGTAGTTCGGGTGAATTGAGTTATAAACCTCTGCATCTAGATTCATAAAGAAAATGTTCGAACAAGTTCCACAGTATGGAAGATGAAGATTTTGTCCTGGGTTAACACTGAACACAAAATAAAATTATGGGACAAAGTTAAGACACTGTTTAAATTCCACTTATTTTGAGGGCTCACACCGGGTTTATTACAGGGCAAATACCACCTATGGCAACTTCCAAATGCTTTAAAGCTTTTTTTCCTATACGCATATTATTTTCTATTTTGATTAAGCTTCCCACCTGCTAGCTTAAAGTCCAATGGCACCTTTCTGCTTTGCCATTGTGAATATGTTAGAAAATAGAGCAGTAGCTCGTTACTATTTTTCCACTAAAAAACCTACCAGCTTTACATTATTCTTTGAATCTTTTAAGTAATACCAGTCTGAGTTGATTCCTATCACTGAGCAAACTTGCTTGGTTAAAATTTGGGAGGAAAAGAAAAAGGACAGATAGCTTGCGCCTGAGATCTCTTGGGGCAGTGTTTCCAATTTTGTAATTAAAAAGGGATTGGAAAGTTTCCTGTGCTTCTGTAAGAAGTGGGTTTTTTTCCTTGCCTATAATCCTATTAACATACAAAGTACAAAGCTTCCCTAGCTGTGCATTACAATGCTAAGATAGAAGAGTGCCTGGCCCCATCTTACATGTCCTTAATGTTTTGTTCTGATAGCATCATGTAACACCTGGTTCATGTATGTTAAAAAATGTTGCTCTGGTAAGCATGTACTCTCCTATTTAGTTAATATATAGGACCTATTTCTGCTGAGAGTATAACCTAAAATCCTTCACTAAACTGGGACACATTTAGGCATCTGTAGGATCATTCTTCATTTAAATTTGTAGCTGTGAACAGACCTTGAAGAGCCATGTTCAAATGCTGTAAAAGTCCATGGGCTAAATACTGGTAACATTGGTCATCAGCCTCTTCCAGGAATACAAGGTTTAGAATGGAAAGCTTTGGATCAAGGTGGGAGTTATGTTTCAATTTCAGAAAATGGCCAAAAGCATTATAGCTTTTAGCTATAGCTGCTTGACATAATCTCTTTTTAATATACATCTGGAACACATTTTACCAGCACAATCCATCCCATAGGAAAAGGCTTTGTTAGCAATATAGGAAAACCAGGGAATAAAAGAGCCCCCATTCGCAGCAGTCTTCATCTATTCGGAAGCAGAAACTATGTGAATATTCCACAAACTGCATAGAGAGAAAAGGGATTATATTGCTCTCCAGACTGTGTTTTAATACCTTTAGAAAACAGCAGGTAGCTAGAACTTGGGAACCTTCCTCTGCATATGGCTTTTGTAATCACCTAGTTCTCCAGATCCAACACTAATTTTTAGCCAGGCCTATTTGTATGTCATTTTATTCATCTGACTATATTTTATTTACAGAGATATTACAAAATATATTGCGAACTGAGTACAATTAGTAACTACAGTGTGGATTTGGTAATGCCAGAGTCAGTGTGGTGAAATTCGGCTGTTAGGGGTTTTCATTTGTTTTAATCGATGAAAGATAGATATCAGAGAGTAAGGGATGCTGGAAACATCCAGACCTTTGCAGAGTCTAACTTAGACACAGGACCAGGTCCAGCTAGGGACTATCTTGGGCTTTTATTCTGGCTTTTTCCAAAACACACAGTTAAATATTGTGTACTGTTAATTTAAATTAATTTAGGCACGATGTTATTCCATACACTCTCTATTGAGAGACATAGGTAAATCATATCTGAAGTGGTCCTTGGCTTCATGGGACCCCAAAGTTAGGTAAGAAGAACTGGACCTAACTTAGCTGACTTGCTCAAGTTCACATCTGAGGCAGACATGGCTGCAGATGCCACACCTGGCACACTCTCTTCCTGTTTCTACATTCACCACACTAACACTCCTCACCTAGTTTTGTATCTTCTTTTATGAGAGTGGAGATGAGATGCTGGTGGGCAGAAATTGCAGCTGGGCTGGCTGATGATAGATGATAGTTGGTGTCCTGCTTGATCTGAATCTATACCATGCAATACAAGGTATCACTTCTTTAGTTTCGCTCCATCTGTTTTTTGGCTTAGGCTTCTGTTCAATTCATCCTATTTATTCATATTTACACTTATGTAGTGGTCCCACACGATACCTATCTTCCCTTTCTTCCTTCTGCCTGTTGCTCGTAGGCCCACATTGTTGCAGGGATTGGATCTGTAGGTGGCAGAACCTTCTTAGCCCACTTGGAGATGTCTTAAAGATTTTTCTCAAGGCTTCAGAAGTTTAATACTGGGTAAGTCAGCTCAAGGTGAAGGCAAAGCTATTGCACAGATTGTCCGCAAGCTCTGTCTGGCTCCTATTGCAAAGCAGAAATGATGGTCTTGTCTTTGGTGAGAATTTTATCAATGACATGACACGCAAGCCAGTAGCAGCAGTGACTTACTGCTACCAACGCACGGCTCTGCGCCTGTCTGTGTTTAATGCACTCAAGGTTAGATGGCCACAGGCAAGAATCAAGTGAGTGTGTCTTGATTTTTGCTTCCACTTCAAACACAGTGTGAGGGTACCTCTGAAAAGTGCCCTTGGGATTGGCGTTCCAGAGTCCAAAGGTCACCTTGAGGAATGACAGAACCTCCCACAGGAAGGTCCTCATTGCATCTGCACCAGGAGGTGCATGGGCACGGCACTGTTGTAACACTGCAGGCCTCATGCCCAACACAAGAGCTCGAGACCTCTCCACGGCTGCCCATTTGTGTGCATGAATGGCGTTGGGTTTATTTTTTCTCATCCTGGAAAATGTGGTTACTGTTTTTACTTTTAACAATGGAGGATCTTCAGGAAAGCCTTGCGAAATTCAATGTTGAAGGTGGTGTAAATAATTGGGTTGACAGCACTGTTGACATATCCAAGCCACGTAAAGACGCTGTACATTGCTGGGGGGATGTTGCAATCGCAGTGCATGTTCAGGATGTGAGTGATGAAGAATGGGAGCCAGCAGATGATGAAAACACCTGGGGAGAAAGGAAAGAGACAGATTTTGATTTCTGAAAGCTGGACAAATTTAGAGACTATGAGAACAGTAAGGTTCTTTGGGGTATGAAGGGAAAATGTTTCTCTGAGGAATAAGCCTTCTGTTTGTCTGTTAACTATCATAGTCTATATTCTGAGTACCAGAGAACTTCTTTGCTGGTGTGATTAGACCAGTTACATCAAAATATCTGGCCTTCAGAGGTACCAGTTTCTTGCTGAGAAACTATGCTGCCTTTTGTGTTCTAGAAAGCCCATGAGTTCTCTCGTCCCTGCACCCAGCTGTCTTGTGGCAGTCCAAACACCCCAAAGGTGGACTTTTGAGCCTTTTGTATAGCACTATGACCTGTTTCTAGCTGGAAAGGAGGAAGCCTTCCTATTGGCAGCCTCTTGCCTACATGTCCTCTAATGTTTCAAGTGACGTTACTTCGGTGGAGGCCTGGAAAAAACAGTCTACACTGGACATGCAGACCGGCTACCCTAATCCTTGGTAGCTGTTGGTTTTCTGCAGAAATACAAGAGGAAGCCAACGTGCTCTCTCACCAAGTACAATGGCTAGCATCTTAGTGGCTCTCTTTTCCTTCTGTTGTGACAATTTCCTCCTGCTCAGAGCCTTGAGAAAGTTTCTCGTCTTGCCATTGGGCAGAGACTGGGTCTCAAAGACCTTGGCTGTATGGGGTGTTTCTTTGGCATGTCCATTCTTCTCTAGTTTCCCAGGGCTGTCCAAGGCTGCCTGCAGAGTTGAGTTTGTGCCCCGATTAGAAGCCACTGGCACAACCAACTGATGGTTACTTGGTGCTGCAGGTTTGATGGTGGTTTTCTCAGGGGGACTGGTACTGGACACCATTTCCATCTCTTCTATGTGACTCTCCACCTCCTGGACAAGAATCAAACGTCCACAACATAAAGACACATAAATATACAGAGAGAAGCAATAAACACTCCTTACAGAATGAAGCTGGATGATGCTGAAGAGCAATCAATCCCTCTTCTCCCTGTGTTTTTGGTAAATGCTTGGAGAAAGGGCTGTAAAGTGTTTACAGAGAAGAATATGTTTGGGTACAACTGCAGTGAATGACTCTCCTTTATTGCACAAAGAGGTTAAGAAATAGGAGAGACACTGTTTCCACTCCCCATGGATTTTATTTAGGTCTTCAGAATATAAACAAAAACGAAATCAACAAGCAAAACCCAACCAAGCCAATGCAGTCCGAGACTTAAAATAAATAACAGAGGAGAAGAAAATCAAAGACACAAAATGTTAAAATGTCATGGCTTTTATAGCTGATCTTTAGGTGAGCTTAGTCTGGCTTTTTGAGTTCTATGATCTTAAACCCCCTGCTTCACTCTAAGGAACGGGAAGAATATTTAAATTTTGAGAATGAATGGTAACCTTTGTTCTTAGTTTATTTTTCTCCCACCTTACAGAAATTCATTTTGTGTCCTGAGAGGAGAAAAGGGGGAAGCTAAATGCTCTGAAAAGCTACCACTTCTCTTTAACACTCACCACTTTGCGCTTATTAACTTGGAAATTCCCATTGGACTTCACAATAACTGTGCAGAGCTTGACGTCTTCTGGATGAGTGCATTTGTCCTAAGGGGCAAGCACCAGCTCAGAGGTTACACAAGCAGAGAGTAATTGGGAAGGGGAGCTGGTAAGGGAGGCAGGTGGAAATACAAACACAGGGCACGAAGCAGAAAATAGTCAGTGTGGCCAAGGTGCTAAGACTGGTGCAAAACTGCTCTGAAGAAGCAGTAATGGAGGCAGCTACCCCTCGTGATTCTCACCAGAGGAAACAAACCACAGAGATCTGTTTACGTTTTGGTCTATTCCTTTCTCACTCCCTCTTTTGCTTGACATGGTACTGACCTCTGAGGCAATGCAGTTTGAAGGTAGTGCCTCTGGGAATATACATTCCTCCCTGGCATGTTCTGCGAGAGCAGTGTTTTGACAAGCAGTCTCACACTTAACATGCTCAGCTGGACTCCACTTCTATACATATCTCCTGCTCTGAGAGGCTGTTTGCACCGTAGAGAGATCATTACCAGTGATGTAGATCGCACCCCAGCCACGCAAACAATTTCCATTTAAGTTCTTCGTCACAAGTGCAAGACTGACTTAGAAAATAGTATAGCCTGTAGTCTCAGGTACCCCAACCCAAATTCAGCAGAACCAAAGGAAATGCAGCCTGGTTAATGAAGCAGCTCCTCATGCAGATCTGCTGCTGAAACATCCCCTGGGCTCCAGAGAGGCCAGTGAAGCACCAGCCAGTGACCTGACAATCCAGAGTGTGCAACTGGGACTCCCAAATGGCACAGGACACAGCATTCACCTTTGTGATCCAGTATGTCGTCTAGTCCAGCCAGTGTCATTTGAAAAAAGGAGGAAGTGCTTTGGGGAATGAAGTAGAGCAGGAAGGGGAACGGACAGAGTCTGCTGAGAGCAAGGCAGAGGTCTAGTTACCTTCAGTGGGGCTTGTGTGTCTGAGTCCAGGCCACGGCTGCTGAGCTTGGTGGTGACACGCTTCCTGCGCTTCTGGAGGACTATGTAGATCTGCACATACACCAGCAGGGTGACAATGAAGGGAACGTAGAAGGAGACGATAGAGGAATACACGACAAAGGTAGGGTTGGCAATGATGCATTCATTCTCATCTGGAAGACAAAAAGTTTCAGGCTTGTTGTCCCTGCTGCTAGGAGCTAGCACCGTCTTTGCCCTCTTCTCTCCCTCTTTAAGAAGGCACATTGATACCAAGAGAGTAAGGGGTTCAGATTCTAAAGAACACTACCATGTCAGATGGAAGTGGTACCAGAAGAGCAAACTCCCCTTGGGAGTCAAATACAACCCAAAATCCCTGACTATTGCTTGCATTATAATTATAAGCCTACCTGTCCCATGCTGTATACAATCCAGTCTTCCTATGAAACTGATGGCTGAACGGCCAGTTCTTTTCTTTCCTGTCTTGGTGAAGCTATTTGTCCCACAAATTTCCTTTTCACATGTTTTAATATAAGAGGCATTTTTGATTTTGTAGCGGACAAATGTTAATGTAACTTCAGAGTGTGTTGTGTAAACATCTATGTAACCTCTGAAACACTGGTCTGGAACAGCAAAAAGATGAAACAGATACAGAAGCAGCTGACAAACAGCTGGAATGACATGGGGAGAGGACACCTGAAACAGGGATGGATGCATCCTGATACACCTAAAACCTCATGTTTATTCCTGACTTGTAAGAGACAACTACCTGGGGACTCAGTAAAGCCTGGAAGATGCCAATAGCCAGCTGCAGGTGCCATAACACTTACCTGTGTTGTTGAGGCCAAAGAGGAGCGGACAGGAGATGGCAAATGAAAGCACCCAAACCACAGCAATCATGGCTGTGACCCTGCGCTTCGAGCTGTAGCGGGTGTTATACAGCATTGGCATTGCTACTGCTGTGTACCTGCAATGTGAAGAGACAAACCCAGTCCATTGTTATTCTGCCAGTGCTGACAAACTTCATGGGAAATGACATCTCGTTGCTGTGTTTGAAAGCCTGGACCAGTAAGAGAATAGAGGGCAAGTCATATTTCACACATCTCCAAGATGTCTGCATTCCCTGTTTTGGAAGGCATGAGGCTGGGGTCAGCTTAGCATAGCATTTTATTTCCACTCTCTCTGAGCTACTGCCTTCCCACTGGTGTTTGAAAGGACAGAAGCACTGAATTAATGGGGACGTATACACACAATTTTATTTTCTCTCTTGAGACTAGAGTTTCTATATCTGCTTCTGATGGAATCCCTGCTCAGACCTCATATAGGTCCTCTAAACTACTCTTCAGGAGACATCAACTACACTAGCTTTTGTCATTTTCAAGTCTCTGAGTCACAGGTAAAATTAGAATATATAAAGATGGCCGTGACTTGTTACTGTGGATCTGACACAACTTGCTGCTGTGCAGCTCTCACCTGTCTATGCTGATGGCACAGAGGTTGAGGATACTGGCAGTACACATCATAACATCAAGGGTTACAAAGATATCACAGTGGATCCGACTAAACCTCCACTCACCAACGACCTGCAAAAAGAAAATACAGGGTCAGTAAAAGAATTCACGAAGTCTATGCTATTAAGAAGGTCTAAAGGGAGAATTTTACACAAAGCTATATATGCTTGCGGGTAACTGGAGTTCCACTGGTTCAAGAGGGATCAAAATCCTGTCTACAGAAGTTGCAGCTGGAATCGGGTCACATGCAATCAATCACATGCTGCTTCAAGTAGGATTGTTTGCCATCAAGTGCCTTCAAGGACTTTGTCCTGTCTAGTCTAAAGGCCTCAAATGATGGCATGGCCACAAAGGAAGTACTTTGCTCCATCCAAACCATTCTTTTGAGTGTTCTCCTAACGGCTGGTGTGATTTTGTCTTTTCTAATTCCATCCTGTTACTCTATTGTGTTGGGCAGCCTGAACAGCAGACTCTAACCTGGGCTTGTATTCCAATGATATATGGGAGTGCAAGTCTCCTTAAAGACAGAGTGAACTATGGAGTAGCTTAAACAGGCCTCTGAAGCACTATATGAAGAAGGAAATACAATTACAGGCGCTCAGGACATAAAATTAATGAGCTTGCAGGTTTTTGTTAGACACTTTTTTGCAATTATACCTAGCAAAGACCAGGAGATTTCCATCATTTCCTAGTGTAAAAACATCAGGGTAGATTTTTTTTTTTTGTGTCAACAAGATTAATGTAGTTCAGAGAGACACACTACATGTTGTGATAAAGACAAAGAACTACTGATAACGCTTCCCGTTACCAATAGCCTTTTTCTCTTCACTTATCTTGCTATTGAAACTGAACTTTGCCAATTAAGTTTAATAGCAATTATTAGGACTGCTGTATTTGACATGTGATGAAAAAAAAGTATATTTCCCTCTAATAAAAATAGAGTCCTATTGCATTTGAAAATAGATTGAATAAGATAGCTATTCTTCAGTTATTTCTGCTCTGATATACATAACCATAGGCAGCATAAAGAAGGAAGAATGACTGCATTGAAGCCTGAGTGACAGATGAATACTCAGTGATTAAAAAAGCAGTTAAGAGACAGTTACATCAGTAACTTTGATGAGAATTTGCCCAAAGGCAAAGGTTTCCAGCCAGATATAAGCTTCTGCAAAACCAGTTTCCTGCATGCATAATTTTGAGTTTATGGGAGATGCTGTAAACTGCAGCAGTTCTTTCTCTTACTGCTTCCATTTACATAGGAGAAACCTCAGAAGTTTGGAGGAAGAAGATTTGTTTGCATTGAGGCTGCTTTTTAAAAGGATTTCCTTTTGACATTTGTTTTTGTCCAAGCTTGTGATGCAAAGGCATTAATAAAATGAAGATATTTACAGAACAAAGGGTCTGGCAAGTTTTGATTTCAGACTGTAGACCCAGAGAGGGACTACAGTGTGCCTAACCCGCGTCAGTCCAATGGCTCTTTCTCTATCAGCAAGTATTTGTCATGGGTTTTGTTGCTTCAAGCTAGCAGTAGGTTTAGCAGAGTGTGGGTAAGAGCAGAAAGGGCAAACATGCATTAAAAAAAGGGAATAAATAAAAAAGTCTTGCTGAGATGTAAAGGCCTGATTGTCCTACTTGCCAGATTCGGGAAACTGAGGTTCCTGGCCCACTCCATATACGCATGAGCCCAGAAAGGGAAAGCATCTTATACCATTTGCTCTTTATTCTTCCACATTAAAGTAAGTGTCTGAGAGACTCTTACAGCTGGGCCTAAGAGAGCAAGAGTTTGTCACAGCATAAGCCTCTGCTTAAAATGGCTTGTCACAAAAGAGGAATATAATAGAAGAGCTTCATTAGTTCCAGAGGAATTGACTACAATCACACCAGCCTGTGGTCATATAAAAAAGCCGTAGCAGGTGCATGATGCTTTACATTTTTAAAGTGCCATGAAAACGATAATTAACTAGAGTGATAATTAGTATTGTGGTTTCTTGACAGCCTACATCATGTCAGTGGGTTTGTTTTGCTTTGCATTAGTACTTAATAGGCTGATTGATTATGGCTTCTTCCCCTGTTCTCCTGTTTTATCATTTTCTTTCATAAATCGGTGCCTGAAAATTAACTGCAAGCTCAGTATAGTTTCAGTCTTATGCTTTCTCTCCACTGTTTATTCTCTCTTGGTTGTGATTGCCACCAGCATGCCAGCTCTTAGCTGGCTGAAGCACACGGGCATCCCAGCAAAGCGAGCCAAGTATGTATCTTCTCTTATTCTTTCCTCTAGAGGTGCATTTCATTCTTTAATGCTATTTACTGTTGCAAGAGTAATTTGCCATCAAGTAAACAGGTGGCAGTCTTGGGAGTATTTGGCTTTCACAGACGACAGTGCCACTCAAATATGGCTCTGCATGCAGCAGCATAGAGCTCTCTTGTACCAAACTGATGTGTTAATGGCTGCAATGTGGAAAGTAGCTCACTTGCGATTCTGTTTCTCTCAGACATTGTGACATAAAAGCTTTGGATTTACATCCTACTTCTACAATTGTCTGCTCTTCTTACTACTGCAGTCCTTCAGAAATAGGGGTTTGATTACTATTGATGTAGCTGATTAGTGTGACTCCCATGATGTTGTTGCAGACTCATTCTTATGTTTGGGGATGAACAGTTTGTCTATGTTGTTTTGCTGTTGACCCCTCTATTTAAAGGCCAGATTTTCAATGCAATTGGATTGTAATTAGGCCCTCTGAACACCAGCATATTTTCAAGTCAGCTTGCCATCTGCTATCATATCTATTTCCTGGAAAAATCTGACCAACTGTTAGGAAATGAAAAACACTTTTGTTTTGGGAAATTCAGGACTTCTTGAAATAGCTGATGTTCAGGCTGCTGAACTTCCCCCTCTCTACCCATTCAGCAGAAACATTCAGTACTGAAAATAAAACTGGGTCACCTACCTCCAGATAGACCACCCAAGGCATGACCAGAGTTGCTACCAAGAGATCTGCCACTGCCAGACTCACGATCAGGTAATTAGTGGTAGTCTGAAGAGATTTTTCCCTGGACACAGCCATGCACACCAGCACATTGCCAAAAACGATGACAAAGATAAGGAGGGTGAGCAGCATGGCATAGTAGTTATACTGAGGCTTCTGGTCTACAATGGACTCGTTGAGTGGCTTGCTCCAGTTCCTGTCACCGAAGTCACTGTTGTACCAAGAGAGGTTTAGGGGATCCATGGAGGTAAAAGTGCCAAGTTCCAGCTCCACCCTGACACAAAGATATTGAAAAGACAGTCAAAGGCCAAGATATAAAATACGAACAAAACCATTGCATGTGTGCTACCTCACCTGTGCCTGTTTCTCCTACCCTGAATTCCTGTGAGCGAATGGTTTGCTAGACTGCAAGTGCAATGAAGACCCAGGTGGGAGGCTGGGGATATTAGTTGCTCTGTGTTACAGCCAATTCAGGCAAAGTGCCTGGCATTTTTGTCTTAGCTCCCTGACATTCCTAACCACTAACTGCTCCATGGTAGGTGTGCACAGTTCAGGGCATATGTGTCATGACCCACTTTGTGTATTTTTCATGTGCTTCATGGGGCTTTAGGCTGTGTGGTTTGCATGTAGGTTTTTTGTTTTTTCCCTTTGCTTTTCCTTTATTTTTTTCCTCCAGCAGGGAAATACATAAATAAAAATACCTATGAACAGAATTGTGATGATAATGAAACTTGACAGTATCAGTTTTGAAGTCAGGGCTGGACTGTGCTTGCCTTCTGCCATTCCCCTAGTGAGGTTGTAGTGCAAAGGGGAAAATGGTGGGGATGTATCTACGTGCCATCCCACGACCCAGACTCTGCAGCTCCTGGTACTGGGAAGACAGGTCTCCTTGGAAATCTGTGGCATCATGGCAAATCATCATTTATTCGCTGGCCAATGGCCACGTACTCTGCACTCTGACAAAGGTGGTATATCAAGTTTTGTTTCAGAGCTCCCTAGAACCTAGTTCAGGTTTTGTGTTTGTTTTATCCAGGCATAGAAAAGACAACTGTGTTTCTTTTGGAGTTTTTCTGTCTTCCAGGACTGCCTCTGTGCTTTGCTTCCTTAGATGAGCCATTTTTGGCACACAGTTAGGGGGCTGTCACCTGGAGGCCTTCCTTTGGTTTCTATTGCTAAGGGAGAGGAGCACTGAGCTGAATTTCACTGTATGAGCTAACAGGTTCCCTGAGTTGACCAGAAATGCTAGTGCCAGACGCTCCAAGGACAAGCAAGTGCAGCAGTGTTGTCATAATAGCATGGCTCTGGCATATGGCAGAGGCAGGCAAGTTTCAACATCAAGTCAGCTGTGCCATTGAGCAAGGTGAAATACAGCTCTGTCCCATTTGTCAAAGCAGAACTGCAGAGGGTCTCTGCAATGGCATTTATTCACACTGATCATTTCAGACCCTTGCCAGGTTTGCTTGAGTGTTTAAAAGCAAAGCACCAAGAGCTGGGCCTGAAGTAGTCACTACATCAAGAAATGGTGATGTGTCAGAGAAGATGATCAAAGAGTAAAGGCAAGAGCTGTTTAAAAGCAACTGGAGATTTCAGCTATTTTGGTTGGGGGTTTCTGGTCTGAGAGCTCTAGAAGGTACCTCATTCACTGCTCAGGACTTCCTAAAATCAAGTATTCCCTGTTTCTCAAACTGTATCTCCATGAAGTCCACTGTGATTTGAAAATCTGGCCATGTTTTCAGACAGGCCATTCAATTTTCTTAATAAAAGACAAGGTAAAATCAATTTATTAAACCATGTAAGTGATCAAAATAGCAAAACATTTGCAAATATCAAATTCACCTGGGAACAATGGTTTCTTTATGTTTCACTGAGCTTTTGTGTGCTTTTCTCATTCAAAGAACAATTTGTATAATAATCCTTGGAAATTTGTTGCATATGGGTCCTTAATAGCTGATAATTCAAAAAGTGTCTGTCTGACAGTGCTATCAGCGGCACTTGATAGCTCTACAAATGTCTTCTTAGAAACTGTCAAAGTGTCAGAAATTAATTAAATGTTAGCTTATGTGACTCAGAGTGAAGGGGGAAAATCAATGCTAAATGCAGCAGCAGTTTTTTCTTTTCTCCTGTTATCCTTTGATAATGCAAAACTCTCTGGAGAAGGCAGAAACATGCATAAAATGCAGGATGGGGGAAAAAAAAAGCAGGAACATGGAAAAGTGTCTTAGAAGTATAAAAGGAGTGGAATGATTTGATATGTGCAGGATCAGCCGCTTGATCCTATTCTGGCTCCTTCTGAGCTCTGACTGTGGTTCACAATTGTGTGTCTTGGAGAAAAGGCCAGAGGCAAGGCTGAGTTATGTACACAGTAATTCTAGCCCTGACTGTTTTACAGGCCATTGCAACTCAGTGGCAGAGTTGGAGGAACCATATAGAGCTTGTCTTTTGTGTCCATCTATTAAGCATTTATTTGGTGGTGGTTAGGGAGAATATAGAAGGCCCTGGATAAAGTGAGCACAAATTCTCTTCCATTTCCTTCTGCAGCTTCTGCAAGTCTGTGTTTTGTTTTTCTTTCAGTAGAACTGTTTTCATAGCTATATTTTTTTTTCCTGCATTTGATTGTCACAAGGACAGTTACAAGATTATGTTTGAACATTCTACAAATGAAAAGATTTGGTGTTTTGATTTTTTACAAAAGTTTTAATTGGGGGAAATAAGACACAAACCAAGTTTCAAATATTTTGCACAAAATAGGGAAACTAAAACACAGTGTAATTTGCGATAATGCAGTTAAAGGCTGTATCTGGTACGTACAGTACAAAATTACAATTACATGGAGAACTCTGTTAATGCCTAACTTAGGAGAGTTTGAGTTTTCAGTCCTAAAAATAATTTTAATTTCTCTAGACACAGTACTAGCATCATTTGGAAGTATTATGGTGGCCATTAGGGTGTCTTGTGAGTCTTTCAGTACTGCTTTAAAGTGCACTTTTTCTTTTACTGCTGACAGTTTCTCAGTAGAGAAGAAAGAAGCACTTTAAAAAGCTGACTAGAGAGAGAGTGCTTTTTATTGTGTTTGTCCAGGCACCTGCATTTTCATATGGAGGCAGAGGGACAGGATCATAAATGCAGAGAAAAGGTAGCAGAAATGGCACCTCACTATGCACTGTCCTTGTGGAACCTTGTTGAGTTTCACTATCCCTCTATGCTACCACCAGAGGCAAAACAGAGTCTCAGTTTTAGCTGAGACTTTGGATGCAGATGTGGGTAGAGTCCTGAAATGGAACAAATTCCATTGTGAATTAACTGCAGTAAAGCCACTTTAATTCCCATACAGAGTCCACACAGATTTTTAGTATGGCTAAGCTAATCCAGATATGGATTTACTGCGAGGTCAAGGGCAGGCCAGAGCAGCAAGGTTGCAGCCTTGTGTTTGATGCCAGCAGTGCAGCAATATGACTGCATTGCACAGAGCATCTCTACTGCTTTCCCCTTTTTTGGATCATGTTTACACCCAGGCCTGTGCTAATCCCCTTTACATTAACCTCCTTGAGTGCCCCCGTTCAAGCATGTCCTAACTGGGAAGCAGTTTGCCATCCACGGGAAAATAGCCTCTCTCAAGAATTTCCCATGCTTTCCAGATGTTTTTCAGCAACTGGAGGAAATCTGCTGTTTGGCTGCTGGAAAGGACAGGGAAAAGGGAGCCAGGATAGAGGCTATGAATGCAGAGCCAGAGTTGTTCTCTCTCTTTTGTAGTCAACTCCTTGTTCTTTTCAGAAAACAAACTGCAGATATGGTTGTTTGCAGTGCTGGTGTTTCTCCTTGGCTCCTCACAACTGATCGTGTAATTACTTTTGTGGTAAACAAGCATGACATCACTCTGGCAAATGTGTAATGTTTGTGTTGTGGTTTAACCCTAGCCAGGAACTAAGTACCACGCAGTCACTCACTCACACCCCCACTCTCTGGTGGGATGGGGAGAATAGGAAAAAGGTAAAACCCCTGGCTTGAGATAAGAACAGTTTAATAATCAAAATAAAGTAAAATGTAGTAATAATGATGATGGTAATGAAAAGGGAGATAGCAAAAAGAGAGAGAGGAGTAAGACCCAAGAAAAGCAAGTGATGCACAATACAATTGCTCAACACCCTCTGACTGATGCCCAGCAATTGGCCCCTGCCGGGTGACTCCCCCTAGTTTCTATACTGAGCATGACGTGCTGTGGTATGGAATACCCCTTTGGCTAGTTCAGGTCAGGTATCCTGTCGCTGCTGCCTCCTGGCTTCTTGTGCCCCTCCTCACCCGCAGATCATGAGAAACTGAAAAGTCCCTCATTAGGGTAAGCACTGCTTAACCACAGCTAAAACATTGTTGTGTTAACAGCGTTATTCTCATATAAAATTCAAAACACAGCACAGTACCAGCTACTAGGAAGAGAATCAACTATATCCCAGCTGAAACCAGGATAGTTCACAACTGGCAGCAACAAAATTGTTTGTCTTTCTGGCAAGATCTGAAAGATGAAATGTGTATTAAGCGGGGAAGCAGAGTTCGCTCTATCATACAGAGATAGATGTACCAGACTGTTCGCTGGGAAGCAGAGGGTAAAAGGCTCCAGCAGATACTCCTGTCTACAGCTTGCCTGTGTTTGGATAACATCCTGGGTCTGCCCTCTGATTTTCTTAGTTCTTTGCTAGGTCAGAGATGGCCTGAATCAGCGCAAATATCTTTTTTTCCTCTTAGAAATAGCAAAGGTAACACTCTTTTGTTTTTCCTGTGCTTGCAAACACCCTCAGGCATGAAATATTCACAGGACTGACCTGAGCTAGTGTCAGCATCTAGCAGAAGCTGTGATGCATGTCATTGCAGCAGCTGTTTTCTGTATGGTAAAGATTTGTGGCCTTTGGAGCTAATCTGGGTTTGGCTGCCAAAACATGCAGTCAGCCTTTGCTTCTTCATAAAACTGTGAATTTCCCTAAGGTTTTGCCCCATGCATAATGCATTTGAGATGAAGTTTGGTGTTCAGCCTGGAGCAGGCTGGTGAAGCTGGGAGCAGGAGCTGAGGGATGATGCCTGAGCAGTGGTTGAGTCGCACCTCCCCTGTGCAGTGTGGACTGCAGGCAGCTAGCAGCACTGATGTGATGTGGGGAGGTTTGCTGGTTCAGCATGCTTTCAGGGGGCAAGCTTTGCTATTGACTTCAGACACAGTCACACTGCTTGGCTTGGCACTCCTGACTGCCAGAATGCCTCAGTGACTAAACTCTATGTAGA